AGAACTGTCAATACAAAAAAGTCCATCAAAACCAAGTTTAACCCGAAGATGCTCTGCATGATCACGGTCAACCTTGGTTTCTATGAGAAATACAAAGTCGGGTTTCTTGGAGGACACCATGTCCTCAATCACGCGAACTGTCTGTGGATTACCCAAGCCACGACAGTTCCAACTTAAGGTACTCATTGGGACCGGCGGACCTGATCCACAGGTCCCGCCATCAAAGAATCAGAATCAACAACCATGTCCCCATTCAAAGCACTCACCTCCCCAATTTCCGTCCTCCTTCTTTTCGGATCAACCCGAACCCCCACCCCCTCATCGCCAACGCCCTCACTGCCCAACCCACCCACACCGCCGATATCCGAACCCACCCGAGCCGTAGGTTGAGACACCTCCACCCGAGTTTGTTCACTCCTTCCAACCCCAACTCCCACCGCCATTCCCCCTCTCCCACTCCCATAGCCAATCTCACGCCTCCTCTCTTGGCCTAGTTGAAACCATTTTTCCCCCAACACCTTGGCCGAATTTGTACCCCCGCCCTCATCGACGCCCCAAACGGATATTGTTCCGCTCTCAACAACGAACGGCGAGCTTGTAAGCAAAATTTGTCCGTATGGCCCATTCGTCCGCAAAAAAAGCAAAACATGTGGAGGCGTTCATATTTGAAATTAATCCATGTCCAGGACCCATCTCTCAGAATCATCTTCATCCGCCGCTTCAAGGGGTTTGAGACATCATGGGTGACTCTAACTCTATAGAAGGAAGTCCATTGTCTCTCAAAATTTCGTTCATCATAGCGCAAGAACACCCCAACATAGTCTCCAATTCTTTCCAACACTTTAACCGTACGGTATCCCTGGGGGATGTCCGAAACCTGTACCCATAAGTCCACAGTATTAAGACTAACCTGTAAGGGATCCTCACCATCATTCAAGACCTGGCATAGCAGCGTCGCATTCTCAAACGCCCAAGGACCCTCATCCATAACCCGCTTCATGTCCGGCTCATCAAAGAAGGTGAACAAGAACAAATTGGGCTGCACATCCGTTATCTCAATACCCATCAGAGGCTTCTAAGCCGAAGCCATAACACGCTTCATCACCTCGGTCTTGAGGATCTGATCTGTCAAAAACCGGCCAACAATGGTCCAGGTTTCCTTCGCCGCCGGTAGGGTTTGGATGCCGAGTTCTTCATCTTCGAACCGGACACCTTGTTCTTCATCGTCCAGCGTGATCTCTGTCGTGTGTGTTATTATCTCTTGCACGTCATTCGGAGGTGAGCAGGCTGCTTCAATGGTGCTGTTCGCATGTACGTACGCCATAACCCTAGATCGCAGGGGGGAAATTAGGGAAACCCTAGGACACAGGGAGAGAAAATTTTACGGCGTATTATTTATATAATCCACCACAGTCCACAGCCTCCAATAATCACGGTTATAATAATGTTCATTCATGTTCATAATACACATACACATAAATACGATATAATGAACATCAATTATGTGTATTATATTAAGTGTCTATGTGTCACCAGCTATATAATATACAGAATTCATGTTCATAATGCACAAAATTCATATTTTTAATGCACATAATTCATGATCATTATATACATACACACACACACACACACACACACACACATGTGTGTGTGTGTGTGTGTGTGTGTGTGTGTGTGTGTGTGTGAATTTTATGTATTGAACCAAAATACACAATACACTGTAGACCATGGTCCACGATATAACGATTGTAACCAATGCTTCTTGTCATAGTCCACATAAAATGGGTGGTCTTTTTCTTTAGAGTTAATTACTGAAATGGTCCCTTGACTATAGCGAAATTACCAATTTGGTCCTTGACTATTTTTTTTGACCAATTAAGTCCCTCAACTTTAAAACTCTTAATCAATTTGGTCCTCCGTTTGTTTGACCGTTCGTCAACCGTTAACTTGGGACCAAATTGGTAATTTGCTATAGTCAAGGGACCATTTTGGTAATTAACTTTAAGGGTCGGCAATTCGCTTCAGTTTTCTCGAACCGAACCGTACCAAACTAGTTAGATTTGGTAATATACCGAACAACTGAACGGTAATAGATTCTTGTATACCAAACGGTTCGGTAAAAACTCGAACCGAACTGAATTGTTCGGTAAAAACCGAACCGAACCGAATACCGTTTGAACATTGGATTGCTATTTTGTTATATATTAGACTTTGGATATGGACTATGTAAACATCATAACACATAAAGAAATCAAATAAAATATTTACGAGAGATACTCGTGAGAATATGAGCTGAATGGCAGAGCAAGCAACAAGGGACTTGGATTTACTTTTTATTTATTTATTTATTTATTATTATTATTATTATTATTATTATTATTATATTTTTTTTAAAAAAATCAAAACGGTATTCGGTTCAGTTCAATTTTTTACCGAACAATTCAGATCGGATCGGATCGGATTTTTTATCGAACCGTTCGGTATACAAGAATCCAATATCGTTCGGTTGTTCTGTATATTACTTCGGTACGGTTCGATTCGAGAAAATTAAACCGAATTGCCCACCCATAAAGTTAATTACCAAAATGGTCCCTCGACTATAGCGAAATTACCAATTTGGTCTCAAGTTAACGGTTGACTAACGGTCAAACTAACAGAGGACCAAATTAGTTAAAATTTTTAAAGTTGAGGGACTTAATTGGTTAAAAAAATAGTCAATGATCAAATTGGTAATTTCGCTATAGTCAAGGAACCATTTTGGTAATTAACTCTTTTCTTTATTATATTGAACCTTTGATCCTATTATATGGCCATTATGGAATAACGCATTAAATGCAATTAATAAGACAATAATTTTGTGGTAAAATAATATACGAAATATATATAGTGGATCATTGTTTATATTGTATTGCGAATTTTAGTCATTTATATTATATAGGGATGAAAATAGACCGAACCCTTTAATTGGGATTTATGACTTGACCTATTTAATTATGGGTTGGTTAGGAGTCGTTATGCTGTGGACTCATGCCCAGCGTGCATTATGGGCACGGTAACGGTGCCGTCAGGCACCTTTATCTTCCTTGTTTTTTTTCTTTTTTTTTTTTAATTTAATTTCAGACCACCTCGTTATAGGAGCATATATTCACAGCTTTGTGTTCATAATTTCATAACTGTACATTCATAATTCTATAACTGTACATTCATAATTCCATAACTGTACATTCATAATTCAATAACTGTAAATTCATAATTTTCGAAGCTCTATGTTCATAATTGTAAGTTCATAATGTCAGAGTTCTATGTTCATAATTTCATAACTGTACATTCATAATTCCATAACTGTACATTCATAATTTCATAACTGTACATTCATAATTCCATAACTGTACATTCATAATTCCATACTGTATATTCATAATTCCATACCGAACATTCATAATTTTTGAAGCTCTATATTCATAATTGTAAGTTCATAATTCCATAACTGTACATTCATAATTCTACAACTGTACATTCATAATGTCATAACTGTATATTCATAATTTCATAACGAATATGCCGTTAACGCCGTTAACGGCGTTTCGAACAATTTTTTTTTATAGTTAAAACAGCGTCGTTTTCAGTAAAAACGACGCCGTTTTAGGGCCAGTGCGCACGTGCGCATAGCATAATGTGATGTTGGTTAGGCTTGACCTATCTAATAAATAGGACATGCTTAGGCCTGATTTAAAGCCTATTTACTAAATAGGCCTAGGCCTATATGTATAAGGTCTAAGTCTATAAGTCTGCAGGTTAGGGCGTCAGGCCTGTATATATATAAAATTTTGTATATAATATTTGTTTATATTTAAAATATAACCCTAAGTATATATGTACACTCTAATTCCAAAATTTCCTATTCTAATTTATAGTTTTCCTTTTGTGAAAATTTCACTTGAAGGATCGGATTATTTCGTGTTAAGAAATTGATACTCGTGGATCAATTATGCATGTTTTGAAAGTTGTGGATCAACATTATTAGTGTCACAATATTCGTGTGATCAAAAGTGTGAAAAACTCTAATGAGAAACCATTGTGGTAAAAGGAAAAATCATTATACCCATACTATAAAGGATCAGGAATAATTTTTTCTTTGAAAAGTTAGTGAAGATTTCACTTATAAAAGATCATTTGTGATAAGAAATTGATACTCATAAATTAATTAGGTAAGTTTTGAAAGTTATGAATTAACATTATTAATGTCATAATACTCGTTGGACCAAAAATACAACAAACTCTTTTATGTTATTAGTGTAGCCTAGTAGGCGTGTAGCGGTAAATTATGCCCTGGAAACGTGTTCACCATGAATGGTGAGCACGGGTCCAAACACCCTTTTTACGTTAAAAAAAAAAATATTCGAGAATGTGGTGTTAACAGCGCGCGTTTGGTCAGATTATGAATTTTCTGTTATGAGATTATGAATGTACTATAAATTCATAATCTCATAACAGAAAATTCATAATCTCATAACAGAAAATTCATAATTTCATAACAAAAAATTTATGAATGTTGAAGAAGCTTGCGCTACAGAGGAGTAGCCATGGTTTCGGACGGGAATGTGTAGGCATGGTTCCAATGTGAATGTGCAGGCATGGATTCATAATTTATGAACGTCCGAAATTATTGCTCACCTCAAATTAAAGTGGAACCGCGAAATGTGAAAATGAAAAAGAAAAATCACACGATTAATTAAAGAAAAAAAATAAAAAAGAGATAACGGTGCATCAACACTGTTGGGACCGTGTTCACTGTGAACACGGTTCCATGACATAAAGATTGGCGTGTAGCACCAAAAATTTCCAAAAAAAAAAAAAAAAAAGGTTCTGGAGTCCGCGAAAATAAAATGTGGAAAACATTTATTTACATTTACCAAAAAAAATGGAAAACATTTTAGAACAAAATTCAGCCAGTATTACGTTGTGACGTGGCCAATCCACAACCATTAAATGGATAATATCAACACAGTCATAGTTGACTACACATACAATCGGTGTTTTCTCACTCACTCTGTTGTCGCCGGAAACAAGATTTCAGCTGAGCTCCTCATCACCATTGCAACACCAACATGTCTTTAGCTCTTCTCCAGCAAAGCTTTCTAACTAATCCTCTCGCTTCATCTTTTAAACCCACCCGGAATTTCAGATGCAGTTTCGTAAATACCACTAAAATCTCCTGCTCTTGCAACCCAGACGCTGAAAATCAGCCCTTGAGGTACTGCTTTTCTGATTCCCCACTCTTTGCGTCTTTTTCTTGGAAATTTTCTCCAACTTATTTGTTATATTCTTTTATCTCTGTCTGTAAGGAAAAATGAGAATAAAATGGCGAAATTGGCGTTGGTTGCGTTGGCAGCTGGGGTGCTCACACTGGGCTCAGTAGACCCTGCGTCTGCTGCTAAGACCGGCGGCCGAGTTGGCGGTCAGGCCTTCCGTTCATCGGCGCCGCGCGCTTCGGGTCCAAGGATTAATAATTCCAGGTTAAGTAACTAGCTTATCCTTTCACTTTCCGTGTATGTATTTCTCCATATTGATATGAAAAAAATTAGCTAGTTTTATATCATAATATCAGATATAAATAAGACAAAAAAACATCATGGAATTGTGCATTCATGTGGTCTGTAACATTATGATCAATGAACATTTACTGTTTCTGTTGTTAGCAAGGCACAGAGGGTTGGAGAGTAGTTATTATTGCGGTCAACAAGGAAAAAATATGTCGTCAACAAGGAAAAATTCCCAAAATGTGTCGTATTTTTTTTTTGGACAAAAATATGCAAAACTCCGTTAGTAGTTGCGTTTTTGATGTATTTCGTATTTTTCTTGTATTCGTGGAAAACGCAAGAGACAGTTGCGTTTACGGTTTTGTATACGTAAAACGCAATAGGCTCTTGCGTTTTTGCGGCCATACCGTATCCCAGAAAACGCAACTACGTTTTGCGTTTTACGTATTATACGTAAAACGGTAAACCAAGTTGCGTTTTTGTGAAGTATTTGTACTCGTCATCGCCGGCGAAGTCGAAGGCCGGCGAGATATACAAAACGCAATTCGCAAGTGAGGTTTTGCTTCGAATCGGTTAAACGCAAGCTGTAAATGCGTTTTTGAAACGTTAAATGGGTTTTTGAGACGTTAAATTTTTCCGGCGACTGCCCGGCGAAACAACCTAAAACGCAATTGAGAGTTGCGTTGTGTATTGTTCATTTAATACGTAAAACTCAACTCCCAATTGCGTTTTAGCGTATTCCCTACGTATTTTGAAAACGCAACTGGTGGTTGCGTTTTCTGTATTTAACAAAAAAAAAATACGGATGAAATACGTTAAAAAACGCAACTCTCAATAGAGTTTTGCATATTTCTGTCAAAAAAAAAGTCAATACATATTTTGGCTAATTCTCAAGCTTTTCTACACATTCTTGTCTTTTTCCCTATTATTGCCTGATGTGCTACTTTTATCTTGTCCAAACATAACAGTAATTTTGAAGATCACCTTGAGATTTAACTAGGTTTAGCTAGGATGAATGTCTTTTTATCTACTGTAGCAACCTTAGCATTAGACGAAAATGCTAAACTTTAAGGTGCCTTGAATCCTCATACTAGTAGGGAAAGGAGTTGGTCATATGTAGGCCGATGTTTAACTTTATACCAAAGTCCTCCTGTTGTTTCTAGTTCTTCGTTTTAATCAACTAGAATTTAAGTCTAGTTTATGGTGTACAAAAGATGGAGTTTTTTGCTTTATATTGATTTCATTTGGTAAGAAGGCAATCAAGCAGGTGTTTCATAATATACAGTGTGTAGTTGTCTCAAGTCTCTTTCATCATTAGATATTCAAACAACTTTCGGATATTTGACTTAACATTCATTACTTCTGCTGCAGGACCAATGTTTACATTAACCCACGAGTTGCCCCTCCTCTAGTTGGTGGATATGGCTATGGTATCGGTGTGCCATACTATGGCGGATGGGGCTGGACGCCCTTCTCATTCTTTGCTCCTGGACCGGGTGTTGCCGTAGGTGTTGGAGGTGGATTTGACACCCTCGTTCTCTTTATGCTCTTTGGTGCAGCCGCTGCTGTTGTTAGGAGATTCCTCGGGTCAAGAGATGAAGAAGACGATGATTACTCCTAGGGTGCATCATGGCTCAGCAATCTCGGGTACCTATGCAGTATATACCTATTTATATGTTGTACTAGACTGCATTATTCTGTTGTGGTTTTAAGAAGGAAGGAAAATCTTGTATAGGCTTCTTACTGACTTTCACTCACATTACTTGGATATATCATCATGAAACTTACCTGTTACATGGAATGCCTCTTTTGAGGTAAAATGATAGATACATCTGATAAAACGGAAGTCTGATTCAACTTTAATATTCCTTTACCAATAATAAAATCATAACATGTGACATGTAGCCGCACATATAAGTACAGATAAAAAGAAATTTGGTTATAAGGGCCACCCCGAAAAAAGATGGAGATGAAGTTGGCATTGAATATTGGAAAGAAATTCATTAGAAATCCAAGTAAAATACATAGGATGAGAGCTCACAGCTCTTAGCTTGCCGCATTTTATATGTAGACAAATTACACATTTGTTAACTACTAGAAAAAGGCCATATGTTTGTGATGTGGTCTGGAGTTAACAATAATAATCTGATTCCATGTTGCTATAATGCAAGCGGGTGTGGCCAATTAAGTAATAACTAAAAGCTGGCTTAAAGAGTATAATGCTGCTGGATAGTTTCAATGTCCAACCCTTTCAGCTTCACCACTGACTCCACATGACCCTTCAGTGTATGCAGCTCACGCAGCCTGCAACAAACAAACAAACAAACAGTGTCAACGTTGTTCAAACAAATGAAGGCGAGAGAAAAAGAATGCAAGATAAAAGACGACAGTGTCAAATGTTGTTCTCATACCTAGCCACCTCGGCTCTCCTCTTTGCCTGTTCTGCGATTTCTGAAAGCTCCCTGTAGCTATTCTTTTCGCTGAAGAGATTAGAAGCTTCTGGGGGTTGAAGTCCGTGTAGAGTCCTCTGAGCGTGTGCCCATTGCGCTTCCCTCTCCTCTTTTCCATAGTCTTTCTTTGTGGTGAAGGCAGTCTGTTGTGAAACAAAACCGAATCAGAAGAAATACATCCTAGTAGTTGTGTTGTTCAGATGATGTCGGAGAGAGGATAGGATAGGATAGGATGTTTGTTTACCTTGTTCTCCAGCAAGTTAAGCCAAGCCTTTCCGCTTAAGATGTAACGAATGGCAAACTTCATGATATCAAGCGGAATGTAGAAAACTATGCTGTAAAGCCATACCACACCGGCCCACCCCCAACCACATCCCTGAATCCTAGCAAAACCCCAGTTCGCATAAACAGCTATCAAGGTTGCAACCTGCGAGACATCATATCATAGTACTGTCAGATCCATTGAACTCATGTATGTAATGTTTCATTATATTGTTCCACAGTGTGAAACCAAAGTCGTCTTACCAGTTGTGCAATCAAAAATGCAGTAACCAGAAGAAGTCCAGGGCGTTCAAGGAAAGACCAGCTGCGAGATCTGGTGACAAAGATAAGAGCCTGACTCACAATACTGACTTGGAGGTATAGCGCAGCCATCATTTCGTCATCACTGTTCCTCAGTGATCTCACCCCAAATTTATCCTGTAAGTTAAATTGGGCAAATGAAAACCAACAATAATATAATATTACCGCCGCAGATCAAGACAACAGAGTATTAGTTATTCCATACAGAGAAGAAGTCGGTATCGTGCATAGCCCAGAAGAAGATGACTGTCATCAATGCCAAATAACCTCCAAGAACAACACCGGTGGCAAAAATCTCTTTCAGTTTCCAGCTATCTGGCATTGGCGATGGTTTTACTCTATCCTTTGAGATAGTCATGATGGTTCCTGAAAAAGAAATGATAATCCCTCGTCAGTAAAAAACAATTACATATGACCAACAAGTAGAGTAGTTAAGACACAGAACAGAATGTGGATTTACCATCGTTCAGGATGGCTATGATCAGGACCATAAAAGCAGAGAAGTCGTATTTCCATATCAAAGCAATAAGCATAAAACCAAACTGCAAAAGAGACAGTAAGCAACACAAGACATCAAAAAGAGAATAAAAAAAATTTAAAAAAAAAAAAAAAAAAAAAAAAAAAAGAGTAAGAATTCTTGAAATGCAACATTGAGCTTACCACAATACGAATTGTGATGGAAACAGCATAGATCTGTTGAAGCGAATGGTGCATGGAGTTAGTAGAGTACTAAAAACAAGAGAATTATGTATTTCAGATAGAGTTGTAGAAATTAAAACTTACAGTGTAGTTCTTCATCCTCTGGAAAATTGCTCTGCTAGTTAAGACAGCACTGATAATAACGCTTAACCCGGGTTCAGTGAGCACAATATCAGAAGCACCTCTTGCAGCGTCGGTAGCATCAGCAACCGCAATTCCAATATCTGCCTTCTTTAGAGCAGGAGCATCATTCACACCATCTCCAGTCATTCCAACAATGTGCTTCCTCTCCTGCAATTTCTTCACTATTTCATATTTGTGCTCTGTAGATCACAGAAGAAACATCATTAGTTATTCACATCTATTGAACAGAAAGAAGATATGGGAATCTTAAATACAGTCACTACAAGGAACCAACCTGGAAAAACTCCAGCAAAACCATCAGCCTTTTCAATCAATTCCTCTACTGGAAGGGCGGCAATAGATGCATCTTTGTCTTGGCCAAGTAAAGTAGCAGAAGGGTACATGTTTGTTCCCATTCCAAGTCTACGGCCAGTCTCCTTACCAATTGCAAGTTGATCACCTGCACACAATCAACAATAATAATTTGCATAAAGTTGAAAGAAGATATCCAGGCAATGATGATTGCACTTAAAAAAGGAAGAAAAACACAATTCTGTAAGTTGATTACCAGTAATCATTTTAACATTCACACCAAGGTTCAAGGCCCTGCGAATAGTTTCAGCACTATCATGTCTGGGAGGATCGAAGAGGGGCAACAGTCCAACGAATTGCCATGGGCTACCAGGACTCTCTTTTGTTTTCTCAGGCACTTCCTGTCTAGCCACAGCCAATGATCTAAGTCCACGTTCAGCATACTTATCGATCACAGAATGAACCTTTCTCTTGAGGTCTTCACGGGCATTGCAGAGTTCCAAAATCTAAAGAAAGGAAAGAAAACTTCAATTAGTTATTTGGTCTTAAAGATCTGTTAGAGGTGTCAAAAAGATCTTAAACAAGGGGGAACATGAAAACTAACCTGTTCTGGAGCACCTTTACTCACACGATGCCAATTGCCTTGAGCATCAATATAAGTGAGGGCAGTCCTCTTGTCCACAGGATTGAAGGGGAGGAAATGGACCTCCCTAATACCAGCCCGTGCCTGACAAAAAAATTATCTTGATCATGATAACAAATTTCTATTGTGTTTAATCTTTAGAGCCTATGAAGGTAAGAAAAGAAAAATACCTCCTTAGGATCAGCAAGCATCCCAACCATGGCAGCATCAATAGCATCCTGATTTTCAGTTCTTGAAGCCCTTGCGGCAAAAAGGAGCACCTGGTCTTTGTCTACGCCTTTAGCAAATACTTCAATCAAGTTTTTATCTACACTCAACTTGTTAAGAGTCAAGGTCCCGGTTTTATCACTGCAGAGGACATCCATGCCAGCCATCTCCTCAATAGCAGTCATTCTCTTGGTGATGGCACCCTGTTGAGATAGCCTGTGCGATCCAATAGCCATTGTGACAGACAAGACAGTGGGCATAGCAATGGGAATGCCACCAATTAAGAGAACAAGGAGATTGTCAATTCCATCCCTGTACTTTCTGTGCTGAATGGGATACATGACAATTAACTCAGCCAGCATACCAACTGCAATTGAACAGATACAGAAGTTTCCAATGGCAGTGAGTACTTTCTGGAAGTGGCCAACTTGATTGGTGCTGTCAACAAGATGTGCTGCCTTTCCAAAGAAAGTATGAACCCCAGTGGCAATAACTACAGCTTCAATCTCTCCTTGTTTGCATGTTGAACCAGAGAAAACTTCATCCCCAGGACTCTTGGTCACAGGGAGAGACTCTCCGGTAAGAGCAGACTGATCAACCTTTAAAGGATCACCTTCAAGAAGACGAGCATCAGCTGGAATGATATCTCCCAACTTGATACTAACAATATCTCCCGGAACAAGAATTGCAGCCTCCTGTTCACTCCAACGACCATCCCTAAGCACCTGTAGTCAATTAAAATATTAGTACATGTAATGGAACATGTTTAAAGCTAATCTCAAATTGCAAAAACTCTGAAGTTGAATGTTTGCAACAAGGTGTGATATTATACCTTTGTCTTAGGTGCAAGTCCAGCCATAAGAGCTGCAGCAGCATTTCCGGCATTGTTTTCTTCAATGAAACTGATAGTGGAGTTGATGACAAGCAAGCAAACAATACCAACAAAGTCCTGCCAATCTGGGGGCTTCCCATCTCCATTAGCCAGTGCAATTGCCATAATGGCAGCAGCTTCCATAACCCATGACAGAGGATTCCACATAAACCCAAGGAACTTCAGTAACTTGCTTTCCTGTAATTATATTCCACAACAAATTGAACATGTGTTCTAGTCTCAAACCAGGGCATTCCAACATTGAAACAATAACTACATACCTTTTTCTCTTCTAACTTGTTGGGACCAAATATCTGAAGCCTGTTGGCTCCCTCATCTGATGTCAGTCCCTCCCGACTACATTTCAGCTGTTCAAACACTTCCTCAATCGGGATTTTTTCCTGTCATTCACAATATTCAATCAGCAGTTGATTACCAAACCCATTCCAATATTGCTTATTGTGATTATGGCTTAAAACATTCCTTCTAATCAGCTTCATCCTACTTAACAAAACAATACATTTTCAAATCAAGAAAATGTCCATATCACAGTATGGTGTGATGGTACACAACAAAAATGAAAACTGGAAAATAGTTAAAGAAAGAATTGATTATTTACTTAAATTGAATTTAGTAGTTTATGTAATTTTATATAAACACCAAAAACGTTTATGAATCTCTATAAGAAATATTATTTTGCGTGCAATAATAATCTTATATTATTTGTCTTGCGTCTCATAATAATCGGGGGAATGTGGGGGTGTGGGGTCACACGTGTATTATATTTTTTCATATAAGTAATAAATATAGAATAAGAATCCACGAGACAGACACTGAGATAATCTTACTCAAGTTTTTATAAGTATATGGAATAAATCTTGAA